GGGTACGGTCTTTTTTTTTTTTAGTTTTATTCATTTCAAATGGGCCGGATCCGGCCCACGGGCCGCAGTTTGCCCACGGCTGGTCTAGAGCCTATGTGAAGAGATCCATTTATTCGTGTGTGTGTGTGTGTGTGTGTGTGTGTGTGTGTGTTGTTGTTGTTGTTGTTTTTAGCCCCTGCTGTGTGTTTAGTACATAATAAAATGGCCATAGTGCCTGCCCTCAAGATTACTTTCTAAAGACATTTATTTATAATTTACAATTTGTGGAATCTGGATAAAAAAGTAATTAATTCTGATTGAGGCTGGTAGAATGGGGTCAAGAATTGAGGTTTTGAAGGATGAATAGGAGTTCACCGTTACCAAAATGGAGAAACTCTTTTCACAGGGATTGCTTTTCTTCAGTCCTTCCAACAGCTCTGTGAAAATTTACATTCTCTTTTGCATAAGTGAGAACAGATTCTAGAGGTAAAGTTACTTGCCCAAGGTCCTCAAGCTAACAGTTGATGGAGCTGGAATATCAACCTGGGCATCACTCCCCTTATGCCCATTAACTTTTCTATTTGACACAGCAGCATAAAAAAAAAAAACCCCAAAACAAAACAAAACACTAAGCTACTTTAAAAAGGCTCAACCATCAAGAAAAACTGAGAAGCAGGAAATTTAAAAATAAATATAAAAGGTTTGTTTCCTGCAGAACTTCTCAGAGCCTCTCGTGTGCCATGTGAGTCTACAAAAGCAGAGTTTCTAACATGCATGTGGCCTCAGAACATTTTACTTGGTGCGGGAGGACTTGAGGAAACGTGTAATAAGGTGAGATGATCAAGTTGGGGCTTTGGAACCAGACAGTCTGGGCTCCAGGCAGAGCCCCACCATGTCCAAGTGCTGGGACCTGGAGCAAGTGACTCCACTCTCCCAGGCCCCAGGCTCCTCATCTGTGAAATGGGGATAATGACAGAACCGGCCTGGTTGTGGAGAATAAATGATTTAATACGTGGAAAGTCCTTAAAAGTGTCAGGCACAGCATAGGGACACAACTATTGATATTAATATTACCACACTGGCACACAAAAGTGACCCCACCAGAGGAGTGTTGGGTGCATCTGGCCCTGGGGGGTGGGCTGAGGTCCGGAATTTAAGCCGACCCTGCTCCTGGGTGTAGACGTCATCAGAAGACACGCTAAACCGATCTCTGCACCCCGTCGCCGAAATGCCCATCCTCCTGCCTCCACTGCTTCTTGGAGGAAATACTCTGCTCTTCTCTTTCCCCAACACTGAAAGCTGACACAGGCCCTCCAGTTACTTGGCTCCATGGACATTCATATAATGTTAAAAAAAAAACAAAAACAAATAAAAAGATCATGCGAATAAAGCCATCCTGCAGGGCATCATGGCTGGCTCCCAATCAAGACGGCCGGGCCTGGCGCAGGCAGGTCTTGAACAGTGGCCACTGCACTGTCCCCGTAACCCCGCAGAGGTGCAGGACGACGCGGCGGGCGACTGTCCTCGGCACCAGCCTGGCCCTTCTGTGCGGATGACAGTGGTAGGAGCAGCCATGTGTGCGTCTGTTCGCCACGTTCCCAGGACTCAAGTCACCATCGCCCAGCCCGACTGGCCCGACGGCCTCTAATTTTGTCCTGTTTTCCCCCAGCCACTGACATGGCTCAGTTTCTAGGCCTGGCTCTGGATACAGACTAAAGATACCAATTTATCTACATCAATTTACATTCTCTCCATTTCACACAGAGCATAAGGATGTGGGCATAGAGCTTCTATTACAATAAAAACCAATCCACTTATTCTTCATGTGGAAATCATGGCAAAAGGCAGCTGGGAAAGTGATCCAGTCCCCAAAACATGGGATCCAGAATAGCTCAGAGGACATCTGGTCCAAGTCCCCATTAAACAAAGGGAAAAGCATACACACCAGCCAGGATCAGCATGATTTTAGTAACTGCCAAAATTGTTATGCCAGCAAAATTGACCCTCTGTGACTTAAATGGCTATATTTGCAACCGTAGTATAAATGTGAGGTTTTATAATAGCTTCAGGTAATAAACCCTTTTAAATGCATACGGGGAAATGCAAAAGGTAATGGTCAAAACATTATATTGCACCTGCAGTTCAAAACGCATCCCAGCTCCCCCACTGGAGTGGACATCTGTGCTTTTCATCTACATACCAGAATCCTTTTAACTGGAATCAGGCCAGAGCTGCCAATCACGAAGCCCTACCTCCCTGCCCCACAGGATGTGCATGTGACCTAAGGTGGGCCAGTCAGGGCTATATGAAATGATTGACACTGGGGAATGAGGGCTCTCTCTTCCCCTGGGCTCAAGACCCAGAAGAACCATCATGCCTGGACCATTTCTCCTTCTGTACAGAGGCCACCTGAGGCCAACCCAGAGAAAAGAGAGAAGAAAGGAAAATACTGCCTCAGCCCCAGATCCAGCCACACCTAAAGCCAGCAGCCCCTGCACTCCCCAGGCCACAGAGCCAGACTTTCCCTTTTTGCTGCAATGTAAGTGAGTCTGCCAACAAAATAATTAGAACCAATACTCCCAACTGAAGGTTCCCACCCAAAAAAATCATATTTCCCCAAATCACCCTCATTCACTGGCCCACTTAACCAAACTGAGAAGAGTTCTAAATTAAAAGGAACTCAGCCACCCTAACAGGTTTGGCTCAGTGGATAGAGCGTCAGCCTGTGGACTGAAGGGTTCCAGGTTCCGATTCTGGTCAAGGGCATGTACCTTGGTTGCGGGCATATCCCCAGTAGGGGGTGTGCAGGAGGCAGCTGATCGATGTTTCTCTCTCATCGATGTTTCTAACTCTCTATCCCTCTCCCTTCCTCTCTGTAAAAAATCAACAAAATATATTAAAAAACTAATGATAAATAAATAAATAAATAAATGGAACTCTGCCAAAGGCTAACGGGTACAGAGCTTGCTGTGGGGGTGATAAAAAGTTCTGGAGCTAGACAATGGTGATGATCGCACAACACTGCAAACGTACTTAATGCCACTGAATTGTATGCTTCAAAATGGCTAAAACGATCCATTTTGTGTTGTTGTATTTTATCAAGACAATCTGCAAGATTCAAAGCACTGCCCTCCTGGACGTATCCTGGCGAACGTTCTCTCCCTGCTTGCTCCCTTTTCTCCTGGCCACCCGGCTGGCCGACGAGGAGAGCTAAGTGTGGATGGCAGAGTTCAGCAGGAGACGTTGGCCAGGGAACATGCATTCCATTGCATTTTTCATTCTGCTGCCATAAAGGAGACTCCCCGCCTCCGAAAGATGGTTAACCATTAAAACCACTTACTGAGCATTTACTATGTCCCAGGCCTGGTGCTAACCCTTTCAGAAGGTCATCTGACAACCCGGACCTTTTAAAAATGATCATCATGCCTATTAATTCTGGAACCCCGCCTCCTGAAAATGTATTCCAAGGAAACAATTCACTGGGAGAGAGGAGGAAGCTGTGTGTATTAAAATGTTGGTTGAAACATTCCTTATAAAAATAAAAATGGGAAGCAACTCAAGAGGCCAACAGGGGAACACTTAGTACATCACAGTGCACTTGTGAAACGGGCAGCCAGCCACCATTACAGAGGCTCTGCAGTCGCATAATTTATGCAATTATGTTAAGTAAAAAAAAAAAAGAAGCCAACTAGAGCGTGATTTGCAGGCTGTGACTGCATCAATGCACAGAGGTGGGGAGCTCGCCCACACAGCTGGTAGGGAAGATGGAAAAATAGGCTGAGATAATGGAATGATAGGAATTTTTGTCTTTCTTACTATTTTTTAAATAAAAGCCTTATTTTGGGACAATTTTCTATTTACAGAAGAGTGGCAAGAGACTGTACCGAGAGTTCTCATATACCCTGCACCCCAATCTCACAATTGTTAGCATCTTGTGTTACTGTATGCTCGTCACAACTAAGAAGCCAGAATTGGAACATTTCTGTAACGAAACTCCAGACTTCACCCCATTTCCCCAGGTTTTCTGTACCAGGAGCCAACCCAGGATACCACGTGGCATGCAGCCTATTTGTGTGTGTGTTTTGTTTTGTTTTACAATCAATGGCTTTGGGTATATTCACAGATGTACAATCATCCCCACAGTCAATTTTCGAATCTTTTCATCATCTGAAAAAGAAACCCCTGAGAAATCATTTTGCAAAATGGAGAACCCTTTGGTAAGGAGAGCTCTCTCTCAAGTCAGCTCCCTTCCCTTCGTTTTTCTTTCTGGAATTCAGAGTTTCTTTTCTCAGCATGATGCCACGCCCTAGCCCCAACCTTGGAAGTTTCCAATACCGTCAATTTTCATTATGTCCAGAATGGAAAGAAACTTTACAATAGAGAGCTCTACAGGGAGAACTGCTCAGAAGCCCGGAGACAAAACCAAGGGCACACCCGCCTGTCCCCGCTTCCTTTCAGTCAAGTAGGGACTTGGAATAAGTCAGCCCTGGCCAGTGCCCAGCTACCCAGTCTAGGAGTCTGTGCCATTGCTGAACCTTTGCCATTCTATAGCCACCAAAATTATCATAAAGCCCCCGCTGGCCCTCCTAATGACATGTATTCATTCAAAAAGTGTTATTGAGTACGTACTGTGTGCCAGGCACTGTTCAGAGAGGGCACGCATGACTTCTCACCTTGGGTCCTCATGGCCCCCACTGGAAGTCAACCAGGCTCAGTCATGATCCAAACGGGCAGTGGCCGCCACTTCAGCCATCTCTCCAGCCCCTTCTCCACCAGCCATCTGCCCCAACCTCAAAGGTGAACTGCCAGCCGCTACGCTGCCAGTGGGTGATAGTGTCACAAGCGCAGTTACCTGCCTCCTACTCCGCACCCTGGAAACAATGGTAGCATTCCCCAGTGGTTCAGAGACAAAGCACAGCTTGCTGAAGTCCCAGCTAAGTCACAGACCCGGGGCCAAATCTGCCCTCTCTGTCCCTGCTGGGTGTGACTCCCAGATCCAGAAGGAACACAAGGCCAATTACCTGCACGACCTCCTTCACCAGGGTCTTGTCTGTGCCGGTCTTGGCTCGCTGCAGCCCACTGACGTTCTCGCCGATCCATGTGATGAGGGCGAACTTGGACCTCTTGCTCATGGCGTCTCCGGTGGTGAAGCGTACAAAGGCGAACAATCGGATGTCATCTGAGACCAACAGCAACAAGAGGGCACAGGGCTCAGTTAAAACACCCCAAAAACACACCTCCGAGGAGGGGCTATAAGTCACAAGTGCACCCCGATTGTGCGACAGGGGCCCCACACTGACCTTGGCCAACATTCTGTCATTTGATCCTGACAACAGCACCCAGGCTTTGATGCCCATTTCACAGATGGGAAATGGAGGCTCACAGGGGTCACCTGACACTCCCAAGGCCGCAGAGGCCATTGGAAGCCACGCTGGATGGGAACCCAGCCTCTCTGGCTGCTACACCTGCAACCCTCCCATCCCTCATACAGTCAAAGCTCAAGCTCTGCATCTCACTCAGGGAGAAGTTCGTCAGCCTTTGACTAGGAATGGGAGAGCCACGTGGAGATGGGAACCAGGCTGGGGGAGGGTTGGCCTGGGATACAGCCCTGGGCCCTCTGGCCATGTCTAGCTTATGGCTGGACAAGTAGGCAATTAAGAATTCTTAATATTCTCAAGAAAAAGAAGAAGAATTATTAATATTCTTCCATTAGCTGTGTTCTGCTTGTTGCAGCTTATATATTCATTTCTATAAAATGACTCTCGGGGCTATTGTGTTCCATTGTTCTACATTTCCATTTCATTTCATTACCACACTTTTCTCATTATCGTCACTTTAGAATCTCTTCCAGCCAACCATGCTAAGTTCCCCAGCCACCACTCTCGGCATTACCAAAGTATTCTCAAGTTTTTAGAGTCCCGTGTGGTGTGTACGCGTGTGCGTGCGTGTGTGTGTGTGTGTGTGTGTGTGTGCGCGTGTGCGTGCGTGTGCGTGCGTGTGCGTGTGTGTGTGTGTGTGTGTGTACGCCCCACTAGGATAGACTAGAATCGCTCCACCTCTGCGCTCCTGGCACTCAGGGCTGATCACTCTGTGGTGGGCACCCTGGGCACTGTAGGATGTTGAGCAGCACCCTGGCCTCCACCCACTAGAAGCCAGTATCACCCCTCCCCAGCCCGTTATGACACCAAAAACAGGTCCAAACGTTGCCCAATGAATTTCTAGATACAGTTTATGTCCCCACTTAATCGGATCCTTTGTGTTTTCCACTGAAATTCGGTGCATTTCATTGAGAAATCACATATTCTTGCTCTGCTTAATCCCTAAATAGTTCATATTTTAACTGTACTGATCAGTGAGATCTCATTATGGTCCCTACCTGGCCAAGGCTGGCACATGGGATGCTATTGGTTTGGGTCATTCATCTGTACCAGCCGCTCTGCTCAGCACTGATGCTCTTCATGGCTCTTAGTTGTTAGCTTTAGGATCTCTCGGGGACCCACTGACAGTGCCGAGCTGTGCTTCTCCAGCATCCGTGTACATTCGAATCGTGGGGGTCTCGCTAAAACAGATTCTGATTCAGCAGATCTAAGGTGGGGCCCTGGGGTCTGCATTTCTAACTGGAGCCCAGGTAATGCTGATGCATTTGAGGTGTTTAATCTATTTGTCTTTAAATCAAGGTGCCTTTCTTCCTATAATCTTTCTGGGTGCCTCCTTGCCGAATCCCACACAATGTATAGGTTTATACTGAGATACTGAGACCATCAGCCCGCTGAGAGTCATGGAGACACAGTGTGGAGCTGATCAAGTTCATTGCCTGGTTACTGCCTCAACGCCCAGCACTGTCAGACAACAACTCCACCGTCTCATAGGAACCCATCTGTCCCAGGGAAGCTAAGAAACAGTTCTCAGCAGTCCAGACTCCTGACGCAGCCTCTACAGTCCAGGCCACAACGCTGATTTCTCAAAGGAAACATCCATCATGATGACCATTCACGCTGGCACAGCATCTCTATTTATAAAGCACATTTGTTTTACTAGTTCACTTGGTCTTCATACGATGCTGTACAGTGGGTGATGGGGGGGGGGGACTGTCATCACCTTCATCAACATCCAAATCACCGTTTGACAGATAAGGCTCGGAGTCCTGGGGTTCACCCAAAGTAACATACTAATAATGACAGAGCTGGACTTGAGGCCAAGGACCGGGATAACTCAGGTGCGTCTGCCCACTGGCCACGGAAATCCAGTGGGCGCCCATCGTGGGACCTGACCGTGGGGGTGAGTGGATGACAAGGCCATGGGGACAGAGAAGAAAGGATGGTCTCAGGGACACTTCACAGGCCAAATCCACAGGATGTGGTGACCATCCAGCCATGGGAAGCAAAGAAGGAGTCCAGCAGATTCCCACAGGAGGGAGGCCCTTGTCTCTTACCCCAAAGACCCTGACTTAGTCCCCTGACATCTGAGCCACAGCTGCCTCATCTGTAAAATGAGGTGATGTTTTTTGGTCCTTCTCACTTTTTTTCCTTTATGAAAGTAAAAGTCCATAGCATAAAATTCACCATTTTAACTATTTTAAAGCATAAAATTCAGTGGCATTTAGTACAGTCACAATATTGTGTGGTCATCAGCACTGTCCATTGCAGAACATCTGCATCACCCCAAAAAGAAACCCCATCCCAGGACCAGTCACTCCACGCCCTCCTCCCGTCCCTCAGCAGCACCAATCTGCCCCCGTCTCCGGGTTGGCCTGTTCCGGACATTTCTCACAGATGGAGTCACACACCATGTGGCCTTTTGTGTCTGACTTCTTTCACTCAGCATGTTTCCAAAGTTCATCCACATTGTGGCATGGTCAGTCCTGCATTCCTTTCATGGCTGAATAATATTTCATTATATGGATATGCCACAATCTGTTCACCCGTTCATCTGTTGGTGGACATTTGGGATGATTGCAAATGGTGATTTTATACCACCCTCAGGAGTGGGTCATGAGGATTCAATGCAAACGCTGTGAAAGCTGCCTGGGTGTCAGGCCTCCGACATGGTAGAATCTTCCCCCAGATTTTAGGAAATGAGGCTGGTGGGACTGAGGAACTGAAATTCACGCAGCCACATGAGGCTGGTGCAGACAGCGTGGGGGTGAGCTGCCGAGCATTTCCCAGCAGTCACGGCTGTTTGGGAAGCCAGCGCATTGTTTTGAGTAGTGTTACTGGGGGGGGGGGGGGGGGGGGGGGGGAGGCC